TTTCTTTCCTCCCGAAACTCGGTGTTTTGGATTTGTCGGTGCGGGTTTATTATCATCGATATGCACTTCCCGCCATATTAGTTGTTAGTGCCCTTTAACGAACTAATCATTGTACCGTGGGCCGCGATGGAACCTCATTGGCCCAATACTCTGTGCAGCGATTGCCGCCACTTCGAATGCTACCAGGCCAAGAGATTCCACTACCGCACACGTGGCGAGGACGAGCACAAGGAAATAGTCACTCGATTGAGACCTTCCACATCGGATTCGGAATTGTGTAGCGAATGCCGACAGGACCTCATCCACAAACGGAATACGACGTGTGTACCAGGCCCTTTTCACTCGAAACGTAGAGTGACAGCTCGCTGGGAAGTTCAAAGATACTTTTTGGATTAAATTTCCCATAAGTACGAATCCCGCTCGCGCCTTTTTCTCCCGTCAAACCCACACGGCGACGGACCTTCGTCTTGCTCTAGTCGGACCAACATGGGGGATTTCAGTTCTGTCTGTGTCCCCGCACTCAATTTTCCAAAAATCCTTGGCACACCCCATCTTTGCTGCCTTTATCGGGCCCCTTTCTGCAAGCCAAAACACTCTGACCGGAAGGTAGCACAGGGCGTAAGGTTGGTGTCGAAGCCGACACGTGTCGGTTCTGACGATAGTGAGACGAGCTGGCGAGAGGAAGACCAGCCAACCGATTTAATCGGCTGAGCCCTCCTGTTACCCGACAAAGGTCTACCGAAACTCGACTAGAAATGTCCATGGTTGATGCTAATGGAGCGGCTCCGCGGGTGATGGTAAGCATCCCTGCCACCTTTCCATTTTACCCCAACCATACCCATCCCGAGGCATGGCTTGAAGCCATGCAAGCCCAGGGATATGGCGCAGAAGATCTTCCTCGCGTCATCACCCTGCTTTTCCGAAACACCGCTCATGACTGGTTTATGAGACATAGGTGGATAGAATGGGATACCTTCAAAAGAGCGTTCTTAGCATGATTCGACAAAGTCAGTGAGGATGCTGCGTGGTTTGTATTGAAAACTTGACCGCAGGAACCCGGAGAGTTACTGCCGACTTTGTGGATGGGTTTCAAACCGCGTTAGACAAATCTGGGCGAGAAGAAAACGCTGTTTGGGCTTTGTTCATCGATCATCTCCGAAACCCAGTGCTGAAAGCAAAGTTGCAAAAAAAGGTTCCCCTAAAAACGAACCAACTACCAGTCATGATCGCTAAACTACGTTGCATAGAGTACACGTACGGGGGCTTCCCGTACGGGATCTGTACGGGATCTGTACGGGAACCTGTACGGGATCTGTACGGGAACCTGTACGGGAACCTGTACGTCTTGTACGCCCCCGTACGAAAAAGCAAAAAAAAAAAAAAAAAAAAAAAAAAAAAAAAAAAAAAATTCCCCAAAAAAAACTATGTGATGCAACAACACAAAACAAGCAACATTTGGCTGAGCATCATCTTCAGATTCTTATTAGAATTTGAGAAAAAAAATAAAAACAATACCGGATTAAAAAAAAAAATTATAAAATTAAAAAACCTCGTACGGGGCCCCGAGCGTACGAGTACAAGAGTACAAATCCGTACTCGTACGAGGGTGCGTACAATTGGCAACGTAGCGCTAAAGCACTTGAAGAACTTGACTTGAGCGATACACGCAAATACATCAGTCAGGGAGACGAAGACATCTCAGACACGATACACGATGTCGCCGCTAAACGGCGATCGTGGATCAGAGCGGTGGGGCGATTCTACCCCCGCCCTGATCACGACTATCAAGACGGACCCTCACCGGATGCCTCTCCTTACCTCCTACCTTTTGCTCCTCCCCTCCCTCCCAAGATGGCGCCGGTGAACACCGTCATGCCCCAGGCTGCGCCAATACCCGTCACTAACCTTCATCTAGCACAGATGATTCATACCGCCACAACTAAACGGTCCGAATGGATGAACAATCTGATACAAATGCAGACTTCCCAGATGGATCGATTGGAACAGATCATGGCGAAACTGATAAAAGCTAACTCGAGTTCTCCGCATCCCGCTCCGCCTTCGTACCCCAGCCCTTGGTCAGACGCTTGCAGCTCCATATCGGGTAGTCAATCAGACAGGGAGGATTGAATGTTACAACTGCAAGCAACCCGGACACTTTGCACGCGATTGCCCATTGCCAAGGCGTACCCAACCCCCGCCGGCAGCTGCGCCTATCGCTTTGAATCAAGGACGAGTAGCCACACTGTAGGAAACCACAAAGCAAGGGGAATTTGGCCCCCTCCTTATGGAGCTATCGACTTAACCCATCGCGTCCACTTCGGGATCGTCTTCCGAAGCGGCCGATATTGTTGATTCGACGAAGTGCCTCCAACTAGCGGGACTAATAGGAGCGATCCGACCTGGCAAAGACGAACTTGAATAAGTGGAACGAGGATCATAACCCGGTCCTCATTTTCGAAAAGGAGAAATCGAGGTTCTTCAAACACTTAAACACTTGGATATTCGAGTCCTTCTCCCTGTGGGCCATCTACTGACCATATCAGAAGCAGCGAACGACAAACTTCTTCAGCAGTGTCAGAAAAATTAGAAGCGCTTTACGTACCAGCGCGTTCAAAAGATGCTGAAGAAAAAAAAGGACGATGAGGCCGAATTAGACTCTCCTTTGTCCCCCTCAACCACACCCGATGCAATCGAGAATGCTCGAGTCGCCACCATTTCGTATGTAGAGAAAGATCACTTTATTCGAGTTCGATTTGTTCTGTGGAAAAGCGCAGAGTGTGATTGCTGGGTATGGGGAAAACCGTTCAATGCCCTTGTTGATACCGGATCGTCTGTGGTAGCGATATCTTTAGAAACTGTCCGAAAAACGGGACGATTGAATTCGATCCTTCCCTTACCGGGGAGGGACAACTACGTCTCCGCAGTCGAAAAAATGAACATAGTCAGGATCATTACAAATGTAGCCGTCAAGGTAGGACGAGTACATGTCCTGGTCAATGCATTGGTAATCGATGTACAGTCCTACTTGGTACTGTTAGGATTACCTTGGGCTATGGTTGTGCGTGCCCGAATACATTTCGATTCCAAGCAGCTCGTCCTTACACATACTGGAGGAAATCCTCAGACGGTTCCATTGCGAGTCTCCACTCGATCACCAAGAAAGACTCCCGACCTCACCCGAATAGGAATGATCCAAGTCCCGGAATCGTCCGAAAGTAGTAACGAGGGTCGACACCTGTCCGATGATGACGAGTATGACAAGCGAGACTACGACGAGCTGCTAAGTCACATGCCCACCGGGAAAGAATGGAACCGGCTAATCTAGATGTTCGGTCACGAAGCTAAAAAAGAGTTCCAGATAAATCCGACTACTACTAGGACATTTGGCCGGAACACAAAAAATAGCCAGACAGGCCCTGCGTCGTCCTTGTCCTTGTGTACACTAACAGAAACTCAGACTTCAGTAACGTCTCTCCTGGGAGAACCTATCCTGCAAATTTAAGATATGGCTGACCTCTTGGAACCCCCTCGAACCTTGTACGAGGGTGTGCTCTCATTACGAGATTGGCGGGAGGCCGAAGCTCCAATCAATGATGTTCCCGATCCGATGCAGGAAATGACGAAGATGACCGGGTTGGGAATAGCCGCAAGCACCACTGATCTCGAGACCGATGCCGAAATCAAGGAAACCGAAATGATTAGCTTGGCCGAATCTCATATGCTTGCTACGGTTTTTTCTGTCCGCACCAGTAACTCTATGTTCTCTAGTGTAGAAGGAAGGCAACCGATGAAACCAAGGCAGATCGAGACGCGACTGGACCTTTTCGAAAGATCGACGATCGCCTTACCTGGTCACGTTCCGTGTGAAATTCGTTAGTCTTCGATTGATGTATTGCATGGATATGCTGAAGTGTTGAGTGTGCATGATTGTGATATTGGGTTGTCAAGTGTGATCAAGCACGCGATCCTCACAGCAGACCATCCACCAATTAGTTGCGCCCCCTATGGATACTCTCAGGTGCAGCGACGAGCCGCGTTCGAGAGAGTAAAGAAATTTGAAACTAATGGGTGGATCGAACCTGTTATCGGACCATGGTTATTCACCGTGGCGATTGTACCGAAAAAGGCAGGAGAGATTCGTATATGTATTGATTATCGAAAGTTGAATGATATCACAATTAAGGACGTGTACCCCTTCCCCCGGATTGATGAGTTGTTGGATGTTATTGGTAGTGCTCGATTTTTCAGTAAGTTTGATGTTCGCATGGATTCCACCATCTCCTAGTTCGAAAGGAGGATCGCCCAAAGACGGCCTTCGTTCTCGTCGAAGGGACTTGGCAGTGGATTCGGTGCCCGATGGGAATCTGCAACGCCCTAGCCACGTTTCAGCGCTCGATGAATATGACTTTTCATAACTTCGTGTGAAAAACGAGGCTGACGCAGAGCATTATAAATTATTGCGTGATTGTATATATGGATGATATTCTTCTGTATTTGAGTTTCTAAGGGCGACACGTGCAACATATTGAGTGGACGCTGCACGCACTGAAGGATGGTGGATTCAAGGTGCCATCGAGAAGTGCCAATTTTTCCTCACAGAAATGTCTTTCTCGGCCACGTAGTTACGGACAAAGGGTTGGAACCGGAACCGCAAAAGGTAGCCGCGGTGACAGACGCGCCGATGCCGACGTCTGTTACACAAGTACACGCCTTTTGGGACTAACCTCGTACTATCGGAGGTTTATCAAGGGATTTGCGGCGATCGTGGGACCGCTCACAAACTTGCTAAAAAAATATCAGTCGTTGATCTGGACCCCGCAGTGCGATCAGACCTTTCGAGAACTTAAGGCGGTTTTGATCTCGGCCCCGGTCCTTATACGACCGGACCCGGAAAAACCCTTTGTTCTCATCACCGATTGGCAGCCTGAGGCAATCTCAGCGATCTTGGCCCAGGTGGGACCTGACTCGGATGACCTGGAACACGTGGTCGAATATGCGCTAAATCGGTGCCTTCCTGCTAGAGGAAATACTCCGCTCCAATGGGGGAATGCTACGCGGCCTTGTGGGGAATTAGTCACTTCCGAGCTTACTTATATGGCCAAAAGTTCAAATTGGTGACTGATCATGAACCACTTTTGGCCCTGAAGAAGTCCAACGACTTCTTGGGCATGATCAGGCATTGGGCTACCACGTTGCAGAGCATGGACTTTGACATCCGTCATCAGAAACACGAGAAACACGGCAACGTGGACAAGCTGACACGGCTGGATCGACCTGATAGAGTGCCCAAGAGTGAGGAAGTGACATCGTGGCGCGATCCGGAATCAAAGGACGAGCCCCAATACGGTGAGGTGGAAATCCTTCTGAAGGACTAGGAGGATACCAGATCTCTCTCTCTCCTTTTCCCGGAACAATGACGACCCTTCCTTCTTCTGCTCCTAACACCCCTGAGTCCCCTCCTCTTCCACATCAGGAAATTTTCGTCAATCTTCTGGACAAGTTCGGCTATTTTTGTGCGTGTATTTCACGGGTCTATGGGGTAGATTGCTACCCCTTTGAAACGGGGTTCACTGTCTGGGTAGAGTGTGCCACGTGCGTCAATCGTGCGCATGGCGCCTGCATTCGATATTGAACGAGTAGTAAGGCATGGAAGTGCCCCCTGTGCCGGACGGACAAGCTCCCCACCGAAGCTCGATTCGAGGCCGCCAAAATTGACGGCCCTGAATACGACGAAAAATATCGAAGGGCTGAAGTACGGACGGATAAATATTACTGGTTAAATTAGCGGGTCAACCATTTGACCATCTCACTAAGCATGATAGGCGCCGGTCCACCGAGAGGTCTCGAGATTATCGATGTTGCAACGGTCATTTGGAAAAACGCAAAACAGACGGATCGGGATTATGGTTGACGGTTCCACACCCGTTTCAACGATATGACTGGACTAAATTTGCGTATGAGGAGCAGGCCGCTCATTTCGTGATACGTGTCACTGAAGCGACCATCGACCAGAATCGATGGTTTTGGTCTAATATTCTCGACAACGTGATACACGTGGTCGCTAATTGTCTAGTCTGCGCTGCCGACCGTGCACCCCTTCATGGACCTAACACAATAATCCCGACGGAGGTAGAACACCCTTTCCAGCGAGTCAGTATGGACACGACAGACATTGACGTGCTACCGCGCCCCAACCGTTGTGAGTATTCCATTCTCTTGGTATTAATCAACCATTTCTCTCGAAGTACATCGAAGTCTACCCCTGTCAGGCACGTAAGGCCTCAGAGATAGCTACGTACATCGACCGATTCCTCAACACCAATCTAGATACAAAAGAGATTATGGGCGACAATGGGTCTGAATTCAAAGCAGAAGTAGAGGACTTATTAATGCGTCGTGGCGTTACTCTTCGCCACACTGCTCCCCATATCTCCCAGTCCAATGAATTGGCCGAGAATGCGAAACGCATGATTAAGAACGCTCTCCGCAGGAGTTTAGCGGCCAATGACACGCGTCCTTGGCCTGAGATAGTGTACCAAATCATCGGGATTCATCGGGCAACCCCCCACGAATCCATTGGATTCACCCCCTTTCAGCTACAGATGAATAGTATCTCGTGCATCGACAATCGGAGTGCCTCAGAAAGTGCCGAGAACGGGGGAAGAGACACGCGATCGGCCCTCAAGGCCAAGGCTGAACGGTATGTGGAGCTAATGGAAAAGGTTATCCCCAGGCTAGCCCGGAAAAGGCAGAAAATGACCGAACTGGCCCACAGTAGAAAGGTCCGTAGTTACGAGGCCCGGAATGGAAATGCAGGCCCACAACACCAGTATAAATTAGGGGACCTACTGCAGGTACGTAAATGTGCACGCGACCGGAAACTCGCTCCCAAGTTTTCTGGCTGCTTTCTCGTAGTAGAACTCGGCCCTAACGAAGCCCATACCGTGCGCATTTCCCTTGAGACCAGCACCAGTCATAGCTCTCTCCCCATCGTCCGCCATACTCTATACCTTCGTTCCCTCCCACCTTCTGAAGACCCTATCTCGCCTTCACCTTCTTTTTCTAGCGCAGACGAAGATCTCGCCTCCCCTTCTTCGTCTGGTACCTCCTCTCCTTGGTCTTCGCCATGAGTTTCGTCATCGAGCCGGCTCTTCCTCCACAACTTCTCCAGCCTCGACCTTCGTTGCAGTTTCGCCAAGTCGTGCATCCTCGTCTCAGTCCCGATCTCCTCTCGTTCACCCAGCTGCGGGGCTTGGTGTGCGGCGGTGGAAGTGACGATTTAAACCGAGCAGGGAGCGACAGTCATTCTGGTCGAAGCCTCAACGTTCGATCGATTCTCCCGGCTTAACCAGGGTGATGTAATGGTAATCCTCGCCTTCAGTAGCGATTTGTGCACCATCCACCTGCAGCAACGAAACGAGGTCATCACCAGCGTTTATGAGTGGGGACAGGAGTGGGTAGTGGATTGGCGGCAATGACTAGCCAGGCCGGGTCGACAAATAGTGGGCACCAAGTGCATTGATACGTTCTCTCATCGGACCAGTAGCACTGAGCCCGTTGCTCATCCCCTTCCCCCTATTCGTCCATACCCATTGCGCCGATAAGTCGATTCTCGACCTTCTCCCTCCCTTCAGATCTTCCAACTCTCTGGCCATCTTGGGCCGATCCCCTTCTAAAATTGGAGATTCGCCCCGCCGCGATCCCTCCCTTCCATCCTCTCTACCATCGCAAGTGGACTGAGTTTGCGTCAGCCAGTGTTTGCATGCTAACAGTGAGGTGTCACTGGGCTCGGTATTACAACAATCGGGAGTTGGAGATCTGCAACGACATCTCGTTGGTACTCGCTCAGGCGTGGTCGACAGAGACAGAAATGAGTGGCACCTTGTTTGGACTTCTGTGCGGAGAGATCGCGAAAAGAGGCAGAGTGATCGTCGCCTACGAGCTCCTCACCTAGCTGTCCCAGCTCGTCGACGACCTGCCAGCAAGCATCATCTCCTTCAATCCTTGCGACCCCAGCCAAGCCGAACCCGTCACTTTGGAGAGGACGTTGACACCAACCATAATCTGGGCTAACTGTATGGAAGACTGTGGGCAATACCTGAGCGATCACGACCCCACGGTGTGGCAATATCTGGACTTGAACGATCTTGCGCTAGAGAACTCCGATTTGAACGAGTTATGGAATGCCCATGGGGCGCACGACGAAGTACCATCAGACGACGACTCAGGACGTATAGCCATCACGGGCCTGTCAGCTAAAGAAGAATCGGAAGCTGGGTCGACGTTGAAGGAGGAGGAGGAAGAGGCCCCGCCGGCACAAGTACCACCCGTTGAGTGAGGAGGATCTGCTCTGAATCCCGAAGTCCCTGCCGACGCCTCCAGTCGAAACCATGGCGCAGAATCCTCCTGCCGCCGTCGCCGCTCTAGCTCACCATCTCCCACCTCCTCCGCCCCCGCCTCGCTTCGTCTCCGTGTTCCTCCCCACACGAGCGCTCCGCTGTCGGCGCGAATACCCTTGCAAGGGTATCCGCCTCGGTCTTTGCAAGTGACAGCGAGGCCGAGGGCCCCGGCCTGTGTGTTCAAGCGGCTACCTGTGTATGGACCAAGGTTGTCTAAGTAGGTAGGGCGAGTGGGCGCGCAGTTTCGAGGCGCGCGTGTGATTTTGCCCTTTGATTGTACGGGCGACATAGACGTCCGGTCTAACTTAGCCCCGGTGATTAGATTAGAAGTTAGGGGGCGGGCCCTTCATCGCTGGGCTGACCAACGGCAGGGTCGGCAGGTAAGGCGGCATGGTTGCGCAGCGGCCGTGCCCTTGTCTATAGACAGGGAGGAGCCTGCGGGCATGTCCCAGCCTTAGGGGTCGGGCTGAACCACTTCATATGGGATGCGGCGCCCGTTAGTCCCAGGCTGGGGCTTAGCCCTATAGGTTATGGCGGCGGGTTATTGCAACAAAGGTCTAGGGATCGAGGCTAGTGAGCAGCGGCACGAGAGCGGCGGAGCAGCAAAGCAGCAAGGAGGAAGCCGAGGGGTCGAGGGCCCGTCGGGGCTATCCCCCTCGGACTTTTGTTAGTAGGTATGACTTTTGTTGGTAGGTATGGTAGCAGGCTGACCTACGGGATTGGCCAGGTGTCGACAGCGCTCGTCCCCCTAAGGACCCGACGTGGTTGCTTCTTCCATTTTTTTTTTCTTATTTCTCGTTTTATTTTTATTTTTTATTTTTTTTTTAATTTTTGCCTTTTTCTGTTCGGAGCCTGGGCTGCGGACCGCGGTCGGATGTGTAACGGCCCCCGCCTATAGCGGGGCCACGGAGCAGTAGGACAGGGTGAAGCCTTCGGGACGCCCGAAATTTTTTTTTTGGAACGATACAGAGAAGATTAGCCTGGTCCCTGTGCGTGGATAACGCGCATAAATCA